TCAGTCGACAGGTCAGTAGTCATCAAGTCATCACATCTACAGGTCGTTGGTCGTCAGTCGACAGGTCGTTGGTCGGCAGGTCGTTGGTCGTCACGTCGACAGGTCTTTAGTCGTCAGGTCATTCCTCGTCAGGTCGTCAGGTTCTTGGTCGTGGAGGTAGCGGGCGTACCTTTCAGTGTGACCCAGTAATGCCTCCACCTGCGGCGTGAGACCAGCTCCAGCTTCCTGTCCTTGTTGACAGTGATGAGAGCTTTGAAGAAAAGCCATCCCGCCCGTCGCACCACACCCTGCTCCTTCTCGAACAAGCTGTCCAGCTGCTCTATTCCTCCCAACTCCACCTCTCCATCCATCTCCTCCTCCTGCTCCTCTTCTTCCTCCGACAGCTCCGCCCGGTCGACTGCATCGCTGCAGCTCGTCTCCAGCTCCTGCATGAAGTTCTCATAGATGTTCTGTCGCTGGGCGTCGCTGCTCTGGTTCAGGCCTCTGGAGCCACAGTGACTGCGGAGGAGGTCGGAGGTCGACGCCACGCTGCGACCAACCAGCTCACAGTTCAGCCCGTTGATGAAAACATCACTGGGCTCCTGACGAGAAATCACATCGATATCATTAATAATAAATATATTTTCTGACCCTGGTTTCTGTTGATGTGTCAGTTAACTGCAAACCGCTAACTGCTAACTTCCAACGGCTACATGCTAACTGCCAAAAGCTAACAGATGACTGCCAACTGGTAGCCGCTAACTGCTAACATCTAGCTATTAACAGCTACTTCTATAACTAAATGCTAACAGCTAACTTCTAAAAGCTTGTTGAGCGACCATTCTTTGACAGGAAGCTTCAACACTTCCTGTCTGAGATGAGCAAGATGTTTCAGAATAAAAGCACCAGTAATGCTGCTTGATTCTTTATTTCAATTTAAATGTGTTTGAATTTGATTAACTTCATTGAACTTTATTTGACCTTTACTACAGATAAACGACTTCAGTTTCCTTTTCTGGTGTTTTTGTTAATGAGAAAAACATTTTATGAGCTTATACCTAATTAACATATTTAAACACAGACTTTTATAAAACTTTTAAAAACAAGAGTGGTTTTAAAATGCTTTGTTTTTAAAGTGCTGTTTTTACCTGGATCCGTCTCTTCTTCCTGTTCAGACTTCCTGTCCAGTCGCTCAGTCGTCTGATTCGACTTTTCAGGAAATCTTTGCGATTGTTCCCGGTGGCAGGGGCGGTGCTGATGGACTCTGCCCTGCGGCAAGGCAGCGTGAGGGAGGAGAAACGCTGCTCCACCCCCCCACCTGCACCGTCCTCCTCCTGAATGATGTCATCCAGCAGCGTCGAGGAGGAGGCGGTCCGGGGGGGGTCTGGTGCCGTGGGGAAGGCGGGCAGTGTGTTGTGGCTGCTGGAAATGCTGTCCAGTGATGCAGCCGGGGACGAAACCAGGCTGAAGTCTGTCAGGTCAGGCTGCAGGATCACCGAGTCCCCGATGCCGCTGTCCTCCGTTCGGCCAGAGGAGCACGTGTTGTAACCTGTGGAGGAGCTGAACCCATCGGTAACTGCGACGGGGAAGAGGAGGGTGGAGTTAAATCCAGGTGAGATGTCCTCTACCTGAGCTGAGAAGAAGGTGTTGAAGACACCGGTGGAGGACACTTCTGTGCGGGTAGAGGAGTAGGTGGAGTTATCCACCATCTGCCCACAAACAAACACATTGTCTGCCAGTTCAGCACTGCCCCCCCACGGCGAGTCGTACCAGGAGCCATCAGAGCTGAGCGAGCTGCCCTTACTGGTGCGTAGGGGGGATTCAGCAACTGAGGAGGCAGCTGTGGTGGCGATCGTGGGGAGGCCGGTTAACCCCTGCGGCTCCATGGGGACGACCTTGCTGTTGGTGAACTCCACCCTCATGCTGCCATCTTTGCTGAGCAGCACTTTGGGGCTGCCGCCACTTTCCAGAGATGCAGCTCTCAGTCTGGAGCCTCCTCTGGGTCCGTGTTCATAACGCCAAGAGGAGTTCTGGTTCTGACAGCTCCTCCCACGGCTCTTGCAGCCGCCCTGGCTGCTCCTCCAGCTGCGAGCTGACGGCACCTCCTCCCTCCTGGACGAGGACCTGAGCGAGCAGGAGGGTTTGGCGGCAGAGACGAAGCTGCTGTGACTGTCTGTGTTTCCCATCACTACCTGGAGCCAGAGACAGAGAAAAAAGACATAAAATAAACTCACTCAACTTTACCGCTCAAGAATGTTACGATAACGACCTCGGTGGTCACGATCAGTTCTACCGCCAGAAGGCCTCAGGGCAAAAAGGATCAGTGAGCCCCCACTGACCCCTGTTCGTCCCCCTCTCTGTGTATGAATCCTGTTGCTTTACATTACACATCATTAATCTGACGCTTTTATCCGAAGCGATTTACAATGAACGAATGAATCGCGAGTTTTGCTGGACGACATGTTAAAGTTTGAAACTGCAGCTGACGTAGCTGCTACTGAGCTCACCTGTCTGCAGATCTATTTCCATGGCAACCAGTTGGACGACGTTTCCAAACAGAGCTTGTTGCTCAGAGGGTCGAATTTTTAACAGTTTGATGTTATTTAAAAAGTAAAATAAAATAAAATGACTTCACGAAACCAAAATGATTCAAATTAGATGGGAAACCTGGGGCCTGAGGGGCCCCTGAGAGACGGGGGCCCCACTTTGTTTTTTAATCTTTAATGATAAAATAAAAACAACAACGTACCCGTCCGTCTAGCAGTTTAATTTATTTCTGTCTGTAATGTACGTCTTTACGCTTCAGGGGTCAGAGTTTAAAAAGTACTAACTATTGTTCGTATCATTCCTAATACTACAACTACTACTACTGCAGTACACATACATGAACACAGAACAGGTCCCGTGTGGACTGAGCAGCGTCAGCAAATCATCACACGTGACATGAAGCAGATTTTATTCAACATCAACTTTATTCTAATTCAGTCAGAAAAAATAAAATATGAGTTTAAATGAAAGTTTTACCTTCTTGTTTTTGTCTTCCGTCCGTCCTGCTCTCTCTCTCTCTCTCTCTCTCTCTCTCCCACTGATCCTCTCTGTGCCTCCAGCTGCTCCCTCTCTCTCTCCTCCAGTGTTGGTCTATGTCGCTCGCCCCCCTCTCTTCACACCAGCTCATCTGGGAGAACAGAGGGAGGGAGGGGCTTCAGCACACAGACCCTCCCTTTGTAACCCCCCCACACACACACACGCACACACACACACACACACACACACACTTCCCCTCAAGCCTCTTCCATGACGTCTCTGCTGAAGTTTTTTTTCTTAAACCAAACTTCACTCTGGTTTCTGTTTATTTTGGTTTTCGTGGATTCTGAACGATTTTCTCTTTGTTTTCTCTCTTTTCTTTTCTTCATCATCGGACTGGAGCTATTTTAAGAAAATGTCCAATCGCAGGCTTTGACAAGGGGACAGCAGGGCGTCTTCACTGCTCCAGAAGCTTGATATCATGATAATGTTCAGACCTGACGAGACGAGTCAAAAGTCCCACGACAAAAGTGAAAAGAAAAAGTCCAGCTGTTTGTTCAGGAACATTCAGCGACTCCAGAACCTGTGATCACGACCTCACGTCTGTCCTCCGGCCTGGTTCACTGAAAAACTACAATACGTTGAACATGATCACAAATAATTAAGAAGCCAGACGTCGTCTCCAGAACCGCGAGGAGTTCATTTCCTGAGAGGTCAAAGTTCACTCAGAGACTCGAGGTTTTTAACAGAGAGCACGGCGACGCCCATCCTGTCCCACAGGTCGGAGCTGAGGACGAGGAGGGGGAGGGGATGGAGGAGTAACACAATGTACCACTGAACCCTAAACACATCACTGACCTTTGACCTGTTTACCTTTAAAACGATTTCAGACACGAGCTCCAGGTGGAATCCAGAGACTCGTCTCCAGAGACTCGACTCCAGAGACAGAGACTCGTCTCCAGAGACAGAGACTCGACTCCAGAGTCTCGACTCCAGAGACAGAGACTCGWCTCCAGAGACTCGACTCCAGAGACTCGACTCCAGAGACAGAGACTTGACTCCAGAGACAGAGTCTCGTCTCCAGAGTCTCGTCTCCAGAGTCTCGACTCCAGAGACAGAGACTCGACTCCAGAGACTCGTCTCCAGAGACTCGACTCCAGAGACTCGTCTCCAGAGACTCGACTCCAGAGACAGAGACTCGTCTCCAGAGTTCATGTTTCACATGAACAACTCAGCAGCAGGTTTTCTGCTCAGACTCGTTCAGCATCAGATCCTCCTCGTTCTTCAGGTGAGAGGTGGAGCAGACAGACAGGAAGTGATCATGTGATCATGTTTAAAGTCACTGATTGTTTATTATCGTACATTTTGTCTCAATAAGAAGATTTGAGACCCCCCCCCGCCTTCAAAACTCTGTCACCCACCTTTGTCTCGTCTTCGTCATTGGACATCTGCCGGCTCGAAGGACCCCCCCCACCGCGGGCGACCCCTCCTATTCTTCACAAACAAAGCCCCTTGACCCCTCCCCCAAGCGTGAGACCGACATAATGAAGGAATTTAACCGAGAGGAATTGAAAAGAATTTGATTAAAGTTGGGAGGAACTCCACCTGCTCTTTAAGTCAACGAGACGAGGCGTCGTTTAAACCACAAACTTCTTAACCTGGTTCAAACCTAAAGTTCCACGACCGCGTCGATTTCAGTGAAACTTTGGAGAAACATTCCTCCGCCTCTCACAGTCAACACTGAGCCTGATGGGGGCGCTACACTGGTAAAATATGAATACGATTCTGTGATGACACACAAAATAAAGAAAACCTCTTGGATGTTTAATATTTCATCACATCACTGAACTGGATCTGAATAATAATTAAAGGAACAAGACAAAATCCATCGTCAATCTGAATCTAAAGAGAAGCAACAAACGACAAGTGGCTCGGCTAACGGCTTGGCTAATGGCTAACAGCTCAGCTAACAGCTAACTGGGTGGATGGAGAGAGCACGATGAGGAAACCAAGATGGCCACAGATGAAACCTCCACATGATTGATCGAACGTCTTTACAACAATCTAATGATTAAAAATAAGACGACTGTAACATCCGAGCACTTCAGATCATCACAGCTCATAAAAGATCTCGACGTATGAAATGACACTGAAGCAGATTTTCTACATTAAAACTTTTAGATTCAAAAGTTTGAACACCCCCCCCCCCCTTCCCCTTTTTTCAGAGGCTGAGCCGACACAGGAAACAGGAAGTGCAGATCGTCCATAAATAGCAGGAAACTGCGACACCTCCTGCACCAACAGACACACAAACAGGTTCCACAGTGTTTGTGTAGAAACATGAAACTGACGATTCTTCCACTTTGAATATTCACAGAAAACTTGATCCGTGAGTTTATAAAGAAAGTGGAACAAACTGAG